CTGTCCCACTTTTAAAAATGGTACAGTAACTGAATGTTCTGTTCTTCTGATTTTACCCCCAACCACTACGCATGAAAGGCAAATGGATTAAATTTTAAGATTCAAGGCGGTTTTAAGGCATGGGTTACCAGTGGATTAGACAGACTTGTCATAAGGTGCATTGAACAGAAAATTACAGGCATGATATCTCTGCTATTGCATGCCATTAAGTGATTTTCCAGCAAACATTATTTTTTGACTTTTTTACCCCAAAAGTTTTTTCCGTTCAATTCTTATCTATGAGATCTAAACTTAGTTAAATTTCTGTAATTTGTTGTTAAATGCAATTCTGCAAACAACTAAGTATTTAATTTTGCGTAAAAGCTACATGAAATTGTACCGTTTAGCCGTAAATCATTAAAAAGAGAAAGCATCATGCTTTCTCTTTTCAAGTCTAGTAGGACTTAAGCAATGGCATTGCTTAAGTCCTAGTAGTTGTTCTCCATGTCTACTAAGGAGGAAAATTAAATAGTTTGCTCTTTTCAAGAAATTGTTCTTGCCCATTGCGGTTTCAAACCAAGGATAGCAGCAAGTCAGTCGTGATCATATACTGCTACTTCAGCGCAAACGAAGCATGGGCGCACAAGTCAGCGCTTGCGTTTAGTCAGGTGCCGAAAATGAAGTGGAAACTTAACTCCAAGGGCGTCCATGTTCGCTCCGGCTCGAAAAAGTAGAATCAGTTGTGCAGTAAAAAGTAATGCGAAAAACCTGCGGGGGCTGGGAAAAGAAAGGCGTCTTATTTTTCTTTGGCTTGTTCTATTTTCGCGACGTGGTACAGGCTACGAAATACTGACAAGCTCAGTATATGTCTTCACCACCGAGAGTCACTTGCCCTTAGCCGGACACTCCCCTCACGTGTCATGTTTCGTTCCTAAAGTTATTTCAAAGCACAGAACCAAACCTAATCAGCGGCCGAAGGCATATTTTGCAAGAAACTAGTATCCTTGTGCCTATCGGCTCAGGAACGATTGATTACTACTAGAATTAATATCAGGGTCAGAATTTGAGTGCTACAATTGGAGGGAAGGAAGAAAAGGAAACCGCCGTGCACACCTGTTAAGTCTTTTATAAACTTTCTCGTCCTGACTGTTTCAAAAAAGGGCGTTGTGGCTGCTATTTAATTTACAGTGTCTGTTGCAGGTGTCGAATTAATCTTACAGCAACTGGAAACGTGGCCACGCCTGCTGAAACTAAGATTGCTTGTAGGATGAACGGCTATAGTTTGGTATATTGACGAGCGCGTTTTGTCCAGTGAACTGAGTGCGTAGTGTTTCTTAACGAAGGGATGGGGTGTGTCAAGTGAATAGTTCGGGGAACGTTTGCTCTCTTTGGGGGTATATTTGTTGATATCAGGAGTTCTGGCCTGGATAGAGTCGTTTTAAAGCTATTTTTGCTTCGGAGTATCGGTTTACCGGAAGCTGAGCAAGGAAAAGTCAATGATGCATTTATGGAATAATAATAGAGATTCTCATGGTCTAACAGTGCGAAGATTAGACTTCTGGTAAGGTGGCAACGATCAAGGCCCGCATTATAATTCATGATAATTGAAGGTCATGATGTAGAAAAAGCGACTGAAATGGTGGATGCCATGCAATCCTCTCGGGTGGGGGCGGCGTACCTGGTCTTAACGGTTGCCCCTGCGACAGAAGGCAAGCATGCCCAGATTGTCCACGGGTTGCTAAATGAGACCGACCCTTTCTTAGTACCCGTTCCCTGTCTTATAATTAGACCCGGGCAAATTTCTCGAGATTGCACCATCATTTTGGGCTTAAAGCTTCCAAAGTCCAACAATAATAGCACATGTTCGCGACGGTTTTTTAAGTCAGTCAAGTTCTTAAACCAGGCCTTAAACGGCCACTTTTAAGTGTCGATCACAGTTAAAAAAGCATACAAGCCTCATGCAAAAGACAGTGGGAAGGAAGTGCACATCGGTGCTGGGGAAAAAGGAGTAGCCCACAGTTATTTAGGGGTGGATCTTTCGAAACATTCTTATACTCTTGGACAGATATGCATTGTTTAAAGTTTTAGACAAACCAGGTGTAAACTTATAGTAACAAACTGTTAAATATACATCAGCAAGATTTTTGCGAATCCTATTTTTCGCTGGAGACTATCGTTTACTGGCTGGTCACGCAATCAAAGCTAACGTTCTTTCCCACGTTTACTCACCTTTCGCTCTGCAATACACTGCGTTCCACAACATAACATAACATAAAACTTTATTTATACTCCAATTTTAGAGTAGCTAACAAGCTAATATCTTCGAGCTGACACTACATAAAAACTATATAGAAAATATATATATACATTAAATGCAAGGAAAGAAAATATCATTTAGAATTCACAATTTTAAGTTTAAGTACGTCAGGCAAAAAGAATCTACATGAAGGTAACATCCTGTATTTTAGTCTTAAAGTCTGCAAAAAAACTGGTACGAAAAAAGTCCGGCAGTGCATTCCACTGCTTAGCTGAAAAGTAAGAAAAGGAGTTAAGACCATAGGTAGTTGTTTTAGGTTTACTTAGTGAAAGGATCCAAATTGCGCTAGAAATGTTTGCTTTTCGGCCCACTTTTTATCTCAGGTAAGGCACTGCAAAGCTGATTCACTTAAGAAGATTCGGGGGAGAATTATTTCTTGATGTTATTCTGATTTCGCAGTCACGGGAAAACAGACCTAGACTCAGGTCTACTCGCAGACACCATGCTGCAATCTACAAGATCTCAAGAACAGAAATTACCCATTGAACGGCCTCTCCTTTTGAAGATTGCGTGTATTTCATTAAAATAGGTACATATTAAAAGAATCTTGTTAGTTTCTCCCTTTTAACGAGCTCAAATCGACGCATAAAACTAAGGTGACGTGCACGTGTCAATTGACCCTGGGGTCAATTAGCGGTTGTTTGGGGCGAAATAACCTCAAAATAATCAGTCTATTTTACAAGCGTTCGCAAGAACACCAGACTAACTTTCAGATAATGTTGAAGTACCATATCTCATTAGGTAGTACGCGGGATTTGGGGTGATTTGGAGAATTCCCCCATATAGAAAATTCGATTTTGGTTTTAGCGGTAAATTGTTCTATTTATAAGCATTATGCAAATTACGTTTCAAAATTCTGCTGGTTCGTCGATATTTTATACTCTAAATCTAAAAAATGTGCCGTTCAGAAATTGTTAGATATCTGCTTTTTGAGATTTAAGTGGAAGATTGCCAATATATTCGCTCGTTTATGAAAATCAGCTCAATTCTGTCACTGGGCTATTTTCCCAAGTTCGGCGGCTAATTTTAGGCCCGCTGACCGTTGAAATCGAAAATCTCAGATAATTCCCACACTCGGTCGCATTTTGCAATTTAAACCTCAGCAGTGTTATAAACTCATTAAAACCTTATTACAGACTGAAAATGAGGGTAAGTTAGGTTTTGAGCTGTGGCCACGATTTGCCGATTTTGCTCGATTTTTCTGTGCATTCGCTCTTAAATACGGCAGTTGATTCAGACGTCGGATGTATGGTGCCGAATTTAACTCTGTTTGTTGTAAATATTCCCAGTCTCTAGAATTTTCTTTTTAGTCCAATATGGATAAGGGTTTGTATAATTTATCCATTATATTTGTCACATGTGAAATGCGACTTTTAGATCAAATGTTGAACCTAAGTCGAAATTTCGACTGTTTCAGTCGCAGATTCGACAAAGTCTTATTTAATTTGAAACTGTCGAATTTAGGTTATTCAGACGGCCCATCTCAAAGCAGTTACCTCTCGAATTAAATTAGGCACATGGGTAGATCGACGATTGAGCTGGGTAATGATATAAACAGTGTCCTGCAGTATTACTAAAAATACCGGTGGATACGCAATGATACATACCGCATTTTTTATATTCCTGTAAACTTTGCTTTCAATTTACCACAATATGTTACCAGCTATATGCACAACACAGGTAAAAAAAGAGAGTAAAAAAGAGAAAAAAAAGTAAGGTTACGAAAAATTTGCTTCAAAAGAATTCGAACCCGGACCCTCAGAATCAGTTGGAACTAAAAGTTAACGCCTCTATCCACTGGACCACCTCGGTAAACGCTGACAATGTGCTATATGCTCCTTCTCTATGATGGTTGACAGTTTTTAAGAATGACTTTTTCGTTTATTATCTTTTTTTTAATTTCCGTGTAGAATTAAATCTTTAACTGGATCGAACTAGACGTAAAGCTCACAATAAACCCATTAATACTCTTTCGGGCTTCGTCCTTGCCGGGGACCGTTTAAGAAATTTATGAAGAATCGATCGCGCGGCTACCGACTGAACCGTATGGCCGTACGATTCTCTCCCTGCTCGTAAGGTGTCTTTTTATCGGTCGGGGAAAACATTAACACAACATTGTTCATCATTATTTCCATTGTTTTAGGTTAGGGTAGCAAACCATTTGGCGTTTAGGGTTAGAAGAGCTGCTACATGACCTCTCTCCCCGGAGTGAAGAAAAACAATATGGCCGCCAAATACATCCTTTTAGTTTTTAAAGTTCTCCTTTATTAACAATCGCGAAAAACTTATTTCGGCAAACAAACAGTTAAGTTGAAAAAAGATTTTACAGAAGTCTCAATCAAGAGTAGGTCTCCTTTCCGATTTTAACGGTCGATTTGCAACTTTTAAACCGGTTTCGATTTAAAGGGAAAATAATTTAAACAATTCAGTTTTGTTTGGTTCAATTTGACAAAAAAAATTCTTTAAAAACGACGTAAAAATTAAAAATTACTCAGAGACAATACCCCTTTTGGTATAAAAAATTGTTAAAAAAAACAGGAAAAATTGGGGGGGGGCGTGCCGAGGGCGCGAGCTGCTAAGGGGGTTTCTGCTAGATTTTGATCTATAGGCTCTCTGAAATAGTATTTTCCGCCTTCGGAGAGCATTAATTTCAAGCAATGTTTCTTTATTAAAGCCATAAATAAATAATTTTGATGCTTTATCGAACCGAAATGAACACATGCTAAGGCACTGCCGTGTGATGAAAGGTTGACTCTCTACAGCCCTCGGCCTAGTCCTCCGACTTTTTCGCTCATGATCATTACCCCTTTAAAGTTTAAATGCCGGGCGTCAACCAGTTTTTTTTAAATGCCCCACACAACTAAAATCTCAAATATGCTTTTTAACTCGTTAATGAAATCTTGTCACAGCAACTAACTCGGAAATAGTCACGTGACTGATGACGTCACTACCTTAGATGTGACATGGGAAGATATTTTATGACATTTTATCTTGTTGACAGTCTTCTACGTATAAAACTGTCAAAGTTGTAAAGCTTTTAAAAAATTGCCTCTAAGGATTCTGGGAGATTTTTTATTATAATTATAATTTACTTTTATAATTATTAATTTTATTAATTATATTATTATAATGATGCTACAACTGGTTTCTTCTCTGGCTCTAACAACAAGTTGCCTAGGGAATCCAAAGAACACAGTCTGTTTGCTTTCCTCTTGTCTGCATCTCGAGTTCTTTTAAAATCCTTCTAGTTCGAGTTCTTCTAAAATCCTTGCTGACCCCAACAGTGCATCATTCCCACAGAGATCGAACTTTTCTCGCAAGATCTAGATACTTTTCAACTTTCTCATCTCCCTTTTTCTCTCACCTGTCTATCCTCTGGAATTGCCTTGATTATAATTTTACAGCTCTTGTCTTTCTTGTCAATTATCACAAAATCCGGTCTTCTGGTCCCAATTTCATGGTCTGTTCAAACATTGAAGTCCCACAAAAGTTTGAAGTCGTCATTTTCAAGCACGTTTTCCAGGACATGGTCATACCCCCTTTCATTTCGCTCAAACCCACACTTTCCTGCCATATCCCAATGGATTGCCCTACCCATTGTGTGATAGTTTCGGACATGCACTTACAATACGACTGATTGTCCTTATACTCTGCTTGCACATTCTACACTTGGGATCACCCTGCGACCAGTCGATTTTTACTTTCACCTAATTTATACGCATAGCTTGATCTTGTGCGGTGAGGATAAGAACTTCTTTTTCGCTCTTAAGCTTTCCTTCTTTCAACCAAGTCTGGGTTTCCTCGCTTCTTTAGCCTTCACCCTGTCTCACAAATTGCCAATAACGGTTATTGTTTCTATTCTTGAATATTTTCAGTTCTCCTTTTTTAACAGCCAGCAGCCGTTTCTTGACTCTAAACCCCTTCACTCCTCCTCCTTTCATCATCGTCATCGTTATTGGCATCATCATCATTGCTATTGTTATATTTTTTTCTTTTTCAACCTGAAAACGGGCATATTGAAAAAAGTACTTCTCCTCTGCGTGCATGGAGACCTCTTGGGAGTTGGAAAAAATGTATTCTCCATGATCAGTAACTAAGCTCACACTGCACCGAATACCCTTTCGTGCCGACACGCAAAGCTATTTCGTTTCTTGTTAACACCTATCCGATATGTGAGTCTCCACTTTAGAGATTGGCGAGCAGAAATCCCACCCGAAATCACCGTTCTTATGTGTGAACAGAAACCTTATCCGGTATGGTTTTCGTGCTGGCGCAAAAGCTATTCGGTATAGTGTGAACATAGCCGTAAGAGGCTGCACTCGAGTGAGCAGTAACGTTGTGAATGGTACATTTCTCTTTCAGCGATTTCTTTTCGCTTTACAAACCTGGGTAAGCAAGGCAACTGTGGACCAACATCGACATCTGGTTACGCTAACACCACCCTGCATGGAAAAGTAACACTGGATAAAGGAATACAATTATGGACTGTGCCATTTTCGGCCTTTTACACTCTAACTGTAGCGGGGGCGTCTGGAGGGAAAACCACTATGCACTCGGGAGGTCACGGAACCGTTGTCATTGGAATACTCCAACTTACCAAGGGTACTCAACTCCGTATTTTGATTGGTCAGAGGGGCGTCAAAGGAACATCTGTTGCCGGAGGGGGAGGGGGAGGGGGGACGTTTGTTGAGGACGACAACTACAACCTTCTAGCAGCAGCTGGGGGTGGCGGTGGTGGTGGAGGGCAAATTACTTCAAAAGATGGGGATGATGGCCAAGCCAGTAAAAATGGGAGCGTGTTTGGGGGTTTTCAAGGTCTCGGCGGAACCGTGCGAGGTACCGAGATAAACAGCGTCGGGGCAGGTGGCGGCTTTCATGGAAACGGTACGTGTTGCCTGTTCAGTACTGCCACGAACGCTTGCGTTTTTCATAAGTGCCAGCAAGGTGGTCTGTCGTTTTTGAATGGCGGGTTTGGAGGGACTGGCAATGGGGATGGTGGCTTTGGTGGGGGAGGTGCAACGTCTGACCACTTTGGAGGGGGTGGAGGTGGATACTCTGGTGGTGGTGTGCATGCAACCTCGTTGGGGTCAGGCAGTCAAGCAGGGGGAGGTGGTTCGTTTTTTATCGGGAATGTGAAATCAGAAGGTGGTCGGAATAATGGTGATGGATACTTGCTGTTGGAGTTGAAAAGCAGCTCAAATTAAATCCTGGATTTCTTATTACTCGGTTTTCATTCGTAGCCACTTCGAGCATTACTAGATGAAATTAGTTGGCAGGGATGAAAAGATTGGAAAGGACTCAAAAAGAGAATAGAAACCCAGTAAAATGGAAACGGATTTCTACGACGAAAGAAAAGAAGAGAAAAAAAAAAGAGGACGGACAGGCAACGATAAGAATGAAAAGATAAAAAGAAACATTACCCATTCATTAAATGCATTACGCGCTTGCATTTCACCGTTAACACGCAGATGGAGGATCTATGAGTAAAATCTACATCTACCACAATTTCCAATCGTTTAGCTTTCAAATGCCGAAAAGGGATTTTATCAATAGTAAGCTTCGGAATCGGACTCAGAACCGTGCCTTTTCCATTTATATTTAATAGTTTTATCAGTAATTTAGGATTCAGCTCTTTTCTTTGCAAAAAATACCACACAGCACACTATTACGGTCACTCGTTACCCAAGTTAGTCAAGTTAATTGTCCAAAATTATTGTTTTGCCATAAAATATATAGAAATAAATATCAAAATATTAAAAGCTAATGGCGAAGAAGCCCAAGGGAAACGCTTTTATGGGGATAGATATTTGCTATTAAAATTTATCAAATCAGTGAATAGCAATTTTCGAGCGTTTTGATTGGCTCCCGTAACTCGGAATATCTTTGGCTATTCACTGTTTTGAGACCGGAGCCAAGATGGCGTCTAGTTTCGAGACATTTTCGAGAGAGGAAATTTGAGCGATAAATAAAGAAGTCGTACAAACAAATAGCAAGAAAGCGACGAACTTTGGCTTGTCGGTGTCTACTGGTGGGCAGAAAAATATTTTCATGCCGCATTTACAACAAAAAGGCAAGAATGTACTTATCAAAATCCCCCTAAATGTTTGCAAATTGTAAATGAAGTTCCTACTAAGTGATGTTGTTAATTTACCAAATAATAGTTTTTTTTTCCATGTTTTCCAACTTATTTGGTAAATACTAAAACAACTATCCATCTCAGGGTCGGTGAACAGCGCTAGATATATACCTCGAGGCTTTGCGTCTCGGTTTATAACCACACCACTATTCACCTCCCCTTCGTGGGATAGTTGTATACTATTCAGTACCTGTTTCTGTTCCAAACAGATTATTGTGTGTTTTCACGTGACGTCATGGCGACCATATTTGTGTCCCAAAACAATGAAACGGCGGCCATGTTTGTGTCCGAAAAGTCCTGTGGGAGTTGAACTCTTTTCTTATGTAAACGCTTTCTTTTGTTCCAATAAATTTGCATAGATGCTGGCCACGTGAGTGAAAACACAGAGTAAGAACAAAGATACCACGATTAAATCGACAGCATAAAAATTGTCTTCTGTACAGGGGGGTCGAATCAATCGTCATTATTGACAATACCATTATTAATAATGCAAAAACCTCCAATGTGCGACGTCTCAGCCGTTTATCAGCCGGTATTTTTTTTTTTTAAACCACGGGCATGAATACCTGTTTAGCTCGTGAATGCGCGAAGCGCAAATCAACGAGGTATAGCGGTTAGTGGGGACCGATGTTACTCGCCGGATCCATAGTCTGTTAGTTTTTGTTGGTTTTTTTTTTTCGAAATGGACTGCAAATGAGTTGACCCTACAAGTCACGTGCGTTGTATTTAATCGTGTATTTCAAAAAGACATCAGTTGTTGCCCGCCTCTCGATGTCAAGCACTTAAAAAAATTCGCGAATTCAAATGCTTTAGTATTTTGAAAAGGAAAAATGCCACGAGGCTGGAAACTTAGACAAAGATAAATTTGTAAGCCACCTTCAATCTGATGTAGGTAAAAATTCAGAGCGGTCCCCTCGATTTTGCTTGAGACACAGATTTAGCTCATTTCTTGTGTGTTGTAAGACATCCATGTACCTATACTAAAACCACAATCTGTTTGATCGAATCTCTTTATTTTTCAGAGTTTTCAGGAAATTAAATTTCACTCGAGCGAAGGCCTGTCGTGACACTTTTCAAGACTTTAATTTGAGACAACTTTAGAGGACAATTTAAAAAACAACTATGGGACTCAGCAAAAACCAAATACCACAGCCATGTATATTAACTCTATCTTATCCATCGAGGCGACTTTCGTGAACATCACGTTTCAATCAAGCAAACAGGAAGTCTTGAATGACACCATATCGGTTCGCTTAAGTCACACACGCGAAAAACGATCAAATTCAAGGTAAATTTTTGAAAAAGTGAGGCGTTCTTAACTGATCCAACTAATATAGTAGGTGCCTTAGAAAAAGTAACTACAGAAAAAAACTTTGCCGCTCGACCTTTACTAAAACTTTATAACTCCGTGAACTTACCTAATTTTCGGCAATCTCCAAGTTTGGCCGCCATTTTGAGGGACTTGTCAACATGAAGCGTAGCAGATATAAATCGAGCAGGTAGATCTAAATCCGTCAGAAATACATATGAAAGCATTCAAATGAACTTCACTTTCAATTCAAGGGGCAAAATTCGAAATTGTTCGTTAAACCTACCATTCCTACATCCCCATGCGACCATTTCTTCCAACAATTCAAACACTACAACTAGTGTTCGAATTCCCCTCGTCGATTCCACCGTAAGAAATAACCTGTGCCACCCAAGCTTCGACGCGAATGTGAAGTGCGAATCAAATAACATAACTGCTTCATCTTCGAGGCAATATCACGCTGGTATTTTGATTTTCTGATCGAAAAGAAGTGATCGCCATGTTTACCTCATAAAGGTCACCGCTGACCAGCCGCTGAGTGAAAACAGTACGGCGCGGGGTGGAGTGGGTGGCGGGCTTATCGTCATAAGATATTCGAATACATGCTAAAAAAGCTTTAGGACTCTCAGTCTAAACAGTTAAGGCATGCTTCGTGGTACAGACAACTTTTTATTCTCATAACTTTTTCTTTTAAATAAGAACTGGAATTAATTAATAGAGTTATTTAAATATTTTTAACCAAGGTAGCTATATGACCTTTTTGCTTGTCATCACTGGTAGAAAATAAGGTGTCTTTTCTTCCAGAATCTTTTATTTATGCGTTATTGCACGGAATGAACACTACACCTAAAATGTTTGTTCTAAATCATTTTTGCTGTTCTTAAGAATGTATGCAAAATCATTGCTTTTTACAAAGCTGACTATAAAGTATGATTTTCCGTAACGGTAACCAATGTCATTTACGTAAAGTGTTAATAAAACTAGAGGCAATGAACAATTTTTAGCGTTTTCCACTTATAAGCCTGACATACAATTGTCAAGTGAACTATGTTTAGTTTCAGCTCATTCCTTGATTCGATGTGACCTATTATCACTAAACCCTGTTCTTTTCATTTGCAATTTTCCTGTACATTTTTTTTCATACGACAACCACAAAGAGTTTTATAAGTAAACCGATTTTTTGGTGTACCACTCTTATTACATTGTATATACAAATACATGCAAAAGGCCAGCTAAATGAGCTCCTCCCCCTGCTCCTAATTTTTTGGTTGCTTTCGCCCCATGCCTCTGACTCCCTGTTGGCTAAAAGGAAATTTGAAAGACTGCTATGCACGACATTTTTTTTCTTTTTCATTTTCAGTTATCGTCTACAATTTTTTACCCTCTACAAATTTTTTTAAAAACAGAAAAAACTGTAATTTTCATAACCAACTTACAATCTCCCTATTATAGACAGAAACAAGGGCCATTGCGTCACTGCTTGATGGTGTAATTATCCTTCCACTGAGCACTGGCAATCATGGGTCATTTCCTTTATTATTGACATTAGAACAGCTTTGAAATCTCTAATTTAAATGGGAGCTCGAAGAAAGTACAGGTTTCCTTAAGCATGGAACAGTAAAATAGTTATATTTTTCGTCCTTGACGTAGTCACAGAAGTCTAATTTCAAAAATAAAAACCTTTACATACTTATAAAAAGTTGTAGAGGGTAACTGAAAATGAAAAGAAAAGGTGTCGTGCATAGCAGTCTTTCAAATTTCCTTTTAGCGAACAGGGAGTTGTATGTCAGGCTAAAAATTGTACATTTGCTACTAGTTTTATTAACACCTTACATTGGTTACCGTTACGGAAAATCATATTTTATAGTCAGCTTTGCATAAAGCAATGATTTTGCATACATTCTTGGGAACAGCAAAAATGATTTAAACAAACATTTTGAATATAGTGTTCATTCCGTGCAATAAGGCATAAATAAAAGGTTCTGGAAGAAAAGACACCTTATTTTATACCAATGATGACAAGCAAAAAGGTCATATGGATACCTCGGTTAAAAATATTTAAATATAACTCTATTAATTAATACCAAGTCTAATTTAAAAGAAAAAGTTACCGTAAATGATCTAATAAACGCCCGGAGCGTTAATTTAATTTTAGGGGTCCAAGTGGCGGCGTTTAATAGATGGGAGGGGTTTGAAAGAGAGAGGCGTTTATTCTCGTAACTTATTTTAACGAATTCAACATAACTGTATACAGTATGCTTTCGGCTAAAAACGTTTTGGTGTTAACAGAATCTCGGCTGCGGGCCTGACGGCTTATCTAGAAATTGAACATCACATAATACACAAACTGATGTTAATCAAGCAATGAAATTAATAAATTGATTGATTTTGCTCTATTTCGCCATTTCCTAGTATTTGGGGCAATTTTCAAAGGGGGAGGGGGGCGTTTATTAGACAGGGGGCTTTTAATACTAACTTAACAGCATAAGAGGGGGCGTTTATTAGATAAGAGGCGTTTATTTGAGAGTGGGCGTTTGTTAGGTCGTTTACGGTATGAGAATAAAATAAAAGTTGTCTGTACCACGAAGCATGCCTTCACTGTTTAGACTGAGAGTCCTAAAGCTTTTTTAGCATGTATTCGAATATCGTATGACGATAAGCCCGCCACCCACTCCACCCCGCGCCCGCGCCGTACTGTTTTCGCTGAGCGGCTGGTCAACGGTCACCTTAATGAGGTAAACATGGCGATCATTTCTTGT